CTGCTCAGCCGGACCTGCTCGAGCTGCCCAACCTCGCCCCGCAACCCAGCGACTGGAACATCGGGGGCCTGCTCCGACCAGTCGCATTCCCCGACGCCGCCCCCCAGGGCGACCTGGGGCGCATCAGCTTCCAGCTTTCCGTCGACGGTCAGATCGAGTGGGAAAAGTACCTCGCCGCCGACGAGCACAATGGCGAGGGCGTGAAAAACGACGACGTGGACGCAGCCCGCGACGCTGCCGCGCAGGAGTGGGCAGGTCGGCCGCGTGGCGCCTACGTTGCGGCCAGCCCAGACACGGAAGGAGAGGGGCTCCAGGCGGCGTTGGGGGATGTGTGGTTCCGCCCGCCAGGCGCCCCCCCTCAGCGGGTGACGCTGCCGTTGGCCGCGCGGCGACCTGCTGTGCGCCCTCGGGAGCTTCAAACACGAGCTACTGGGGGCCATTGGCGGCCGATTGAATGGTTTCTCGAGCCGCGTCGAGCAGGTCGAGAAGAGAAGCGTGGTTGCTCGTGTCCTTGCCTCTGCGGGAGCCCCCCCCGCCGCTCTCGGGGGGTCACTCCTCCAGGCGGGGCCCTCCGCGAGCGTGCTGGCGCCCCCTTTTGTCCCGAGCGGATCCTTCTTTCAAAGCTCGCCCGCGGCGCCGCCCAGTGCAGCTGGGGCGCGGCCCGCGCCGACGCTTCCCCAGTCCAGGGTGGCAGAGGAAGCCCTGGCGACGGCTCGGGGACTATGGTGCTGGTGCTGACGGTGGTTGTGTCGATGAGGACGATTTTGATAATGCTGCTGATGACGATGATGAGTATGCTGAGGAGAAGGAGGAATCTCGTCTGAAAACGGACGCAGACAGAGGTAGAGGAGGAGGAGGAGGAGGAGGAGGAGGAGGAGGAGGAGGAGGAGGGAAACGGGCGGAGGAACAGGAGGGAGTTCATACGGATCCATGCGATTTGATTCGGAGGAGCGGCGGAGGGAAACGACAGACACGATGAAAATGATGCTGATGATGCTGGTGTTTAAGACGAGGACGGCGGCGATGGTGACGACGACACAATGTTGGTGGTGGTGGTGGCGGTGATGATGATGCTGCTGATGATGAAGATGCTGATTAGGATGATGCTATTGGGTGGTGATACGGATGATGATCTTGATGACGTGCATGATTGTGATGGCGGTGGTGAAGATGATGCTGTTGATTGTGATGCTGATTGCGACGATTGTGATGATCATGGTCGCGATGATGAGGATGATGACGATGACGATGATGATACTGACATCTTGTTATAGTAACGACGACGCCGACGACGACGATGGCAACGACGATGACGAGGACGTTGATGATGCTGAGAAGGGTGATGATGACGATGATCATGATGATAGGATGATGATGATGACGATGGTGATGATGATGGTAATGCTGATAACAATGGTGATCATAATCAAGATGATAATCATGCTGATGCTGCTGATGATGTGATGCTGATGTTGATGAGGATGCTGATGCTGATGCTGCTGATACTGATGATTATGCTGTTGACTGTGTTTGTGAATTTGATGATGCTGCTGCTACTGCTGATGATAATGATGATAATGCTGCTGCTGATGATGACGATGCTGATGCTGATGATGATGATGGTGATGATGATGCTGATTCTGATGATGATGATGAAGATGATGCTGATGATGATGATGGTGATGGTGATGATGATGGTGATGGTGATGATGATGATGACGATGATGATGATGATGCTGCTGCTGCTGATGATGATGATGATGATGATGATGATGATGATGATGATGATGATGATGATGATGATGATGATGATGATGATTTGGGGGAGGAGAGAGGAGGAGGAGGAGGAGGAGGAGGAGGAGGAGGAGGAGGAGGAGGAGGAGGAGGAGGAGGAGGAGGAGGGGAAGGAGGGGCTGGAGGAGGGTTTTGTGGTGGAGGAGGATGAAGATGGACGATCTCATGGAATGGAAGCCAGGGGGGGTTGTTGAGACGTCCCAGTTCTCATTGCGTTTTGCTTGATTATTTGGCGGGTCCGACGCGTGCAACATTGTGGTCCACTCTGCCAAGTACACGTGCGCTGACGCCGTTTTTTCCAGGTCCTTGCAGCGAAGTCTCGGCGGACTTGCTTGTCTTGCTCTCGACTCCTAGTCAACTCGCCCAGGCCACGCGCTTCTCGCCTCACAGTTGAGTGCAGTGCGTTCCGTTTCCCTAGGCACCCACAGGAGCTGCGCGACCGTGCCCCTTGTGGAGCTTTGGGCCCAGGATCCGGTCGCCGCTTCCGCGTCGCCTCTGTGGCCGTTCTGCTTCCTTCTACCCGCGGGGAATGTCGTGCGTGGACGCTTCGCTGGCACTTCTGGGGGAGTGACGGTGTTCCTCTGGCTCTGGCCAGGGCCCACTCCCTTGGTTCGGCTGGGCCTCGTCCTCGTCGTCCCCCTCCGTTTGCTCCTCCTCCAAACTTTTGCACTGAGGCGTGCCCAGCGGCATGAGATGAGGGGAGGGGAGGGAAGAGGAGGGAAGGAGGGGAAGGATCGGGGAGAAGGATGGGCAGGGGGAGGGCTGGAGGGCGAGATGGAGGGAGGATAGAGGAGGATGGAGGCGAGAGGGAGGCAGGGAGGGGGTGCCGAGAGGGAAGCCGGGAGGGCGGAGGGGGAGGAGGGGGCACGGAGGGAGGAGGAGGCGGAGGGGGAGGAGGAGAGACAGGGAGATGAGACGGAGGAGGATGAAGGACGGGGATGGGTAAGGGACAGGGGGGGGGCGAAAAGGGGTGGGCAGGGACAGGGAGAATGGAGGACGAGAGAGAGGGGGTGAGATTTTTTGATTGGCTCCTCGCTGAAGCATAGGGCTTGTCGAAACTGGGTGGCGCTGCAGCTACCATAATATTAGTCAGACTAACAAAACTTCTGCACGGGCACCAATGGCGCAAGGACAGTAGTTTACCCCCCCGTATAGTATCCTCCCACCCTTAACTGACACAGTTTCTTAAACCGTGGTCAGTACTGTACAAATGCAGGGCACAGAGAGCAGGTGGGCGGTCCTGCAAGCGATGATGCATATCCCCTGAGGCATTGGCAAACGGGGCGGCAGCACGAGTGTGACGCACGAGCGTGCTGTCCATCTTCGCACCCTGGCATCGAGCAAGACAAGGCGAGGCGCAATTATCTTCGCCTTGTCTGAGCACTGAAAGAACAGATTCTTCTCCTGCCAGAAAGCCGAGAAGTGAGCAGCAACGAAACTGCACGATAACAAAACTCGCACCTTGATCATTCCTGTACTGCCTGCTGGGCAGTACCGACAGAGAGTGGCTGTACGTGCAACTCTGCCTGCGATGTCTCTCCTGAGACGTCGGACATCACATTGACTGACAGGTCTTGGCACACGAGCCTGCGGGCTATCTTCGCGTCCTCATATCAAGCGGCAATGCGAAGTGACTGGAAGGCGATGCGCAGTTATCCACATTGTGTTGCCCAAATGGCTGCTCCAGATCAGCTGTCTCCTGATCTCCTGATCTCTGGCTCTGGCCTCGTCGTCCCCCTCCTCCGTTTGCTCCTCCTCCAAACTTTTGCACTGAGGCGTGCCCAGCGGCATGAGATGAGGGGAGGGGAGGGAAGAGGAGGGAAGGAGGGGAAGGGTCGGGGAGAAGGATGGGCAGGGGGAGGGCTGGAGGGCGAGATGGGGGGAGGAGGGGGAACGGAGGGAGGAGGAGGCGGAGGGGGAGGAGGAGAGACAGGGAGATGAGACGGAGGAGGATGAAGGACGGGGATGGGTAAGGGACAGGGGGGGGGGGGGCGAAAAGGGGTGGGCAGGGACAGGGAGAATGGAGGACGAGAGAGAGGGGGTGAGATTTTTTGATTGGCTCCTCGCTGAAGCATAGGGCTTGTCGAAACTGGGTGGCGCTGCAGCTACCATAATATTAGTCAGACTAACAAAACTTCTGCACGGGCACCAATGGCGCAAGGACAGTAGTTTACCCCCCCGTATAGTATCCTCCCACCCTTAACTGACACAGTTTCTTAAACCGTGGTCAGTACTGTACAAATGCAGGGCACAGAGAGCAGGTGGGCGGTCCTGCAAGCGATGATGCGTATCCCCTGAGGCATTGGCAAACGGGGCGGCAGCACGAGTGTGACGCACGAGCGTGCTGTCCATCTTCGCACCCTGGCATCGAGCAAGACAAGGCGAGGCGCAATTATCTTCGCCTTGTCTGAGCACTGAAAGAACATATTCTTCTCCTGCCAGAAAGCCGAGAAGTGAGCAGCAACGAAACTGCACGATAACAAAACTCGCACCTTGATCATTCCTGTACTGCCTGCTGGGCAGTACCGACAGAGAGTGGCTGTACGTGCAACTCTGCCTGCGATGTCTCTCCTGAGACGTCGGACATCACATTGACTGACAGGTCTTGGCACACGAGCCTCTCTATTCTTCTCCTGCCAGAAAGCCGAGAAGTGAGCAGCAACGAAACTGCACGATAACAAAACTCGCACCTTGATCATTCCTGTACTGCCTGCTGGGCAGTACCGACAGAGAGTGGCTGTACGTGCAACTCTGCCTGCGATGTCTCTCCTGAGACGTCGGACATCACATTGACTGACAGGTCTTGGCACACGAGCCTGCGGGCTATCTTCGCGTCCTCATATCAAGCGGCAATGCGAAGTGACCGGAAGGCGATGCGCAGTTATCCACATTGTGTTGCCAAAATGGCTGCTCCAGATCAGCTGTCTCCTGATCTCCTGATCTCTGGCTCTGGCCTCGTCGTCCCCCTCCTCCGTTTGCTCCTCCTCCAAACTTTTGCACTGAGGCGTGCCCAGCGGCATGAGATGAGGGGAGGGGAGGGAAGAGGAGGGAAGGAGGGGAAGGGTCGGGGAGAAGGATGGGCAGGGGGAGGGCTGGAGGGCGAGATGGAGGGAGGATAGAGGAGGATGGAGGCGAGAGGGAGGCAGGGAGGGGGTGCCGAGAGGGAAGCCGGGAGGGCGGAGGGGGAGGAGGGGGCACGGAGGGAGGAGGAGGCGGAGGGGGAGGAGGAGAGACAGGGAGATGAGACGGAGGAGGATGAAGGACGGGGATGGGTAAGGGACAGGGGGGGGGCGAAAAGGGGTGGGCAGGGACAGGGAGAATGGAGGACGAGAGAGAGGGGGTGAGATTTTTTGATTGGCTCCTCGCTGAAGCATAGGGCTTGTCGAAACTGGGTGGCGCTGCAGCTACCATAATATTAGTCAGACTAACAAAACTTCTGCACGGGCACCAATGGCGCAAGGACAGTAGTTTACCCCCCCGTATAGTATCCTCCCACCCTTAACTGACACAGTTTCTTAAACCGTGGTCAGTACTGTACAAATGCAGGGCACAGAGAGCAGGTGGGCGGTCCTGCAAGCGATGATGCGTATCCCCTGAGGCATTGGCAAACGGGGCGGCAGCACGAGTGTGACGCACGAGCGTGCTGTCCATCTTCGCACCCTGGCATCGAGCAAGACAAGGCGAGGCGCAATTATCTTCGCCTTGTCTGAGCACTGAAAGAACATATTCTTCTCCTGCCAGAAAGCCGAGAAGTGAGCAGCAACGAAACTGCACGATAACAAAACTCGCACCTTGATCATTCCTGTACTGCCTGCTGGGCAGTACCGACAGAGAGTGGCTGTACGTGCAACTCTGCCTGCGATGTCTCTCCTGAGACGTCGGACATCACATTGACTGACAGGTCTTGGCACACGAGCCTGCGGGCTATCTTCGCGTCCTCATATCAAGCGGCAATGCGAAGTGACCGGAAGGCGATGCGCAGTTATCCACATTGTGTTGCCAAAATGGCTGCTCCAGATCAGCTGTCTCCTGATCTCCTGATCTCTGGCTCTGGCCTCGTCGTCCCCCTCCTCCGTTTGCTCCTCCTCCAAACTTTTGCACTGAGGCGTGCCCAGCGGCATGAGATGAGGGGAGGGGAGGGAAGAGGAGGGAAGGAGGGGAAGGGTCGGGGAGAAGGATGGGCAGGGGGAGGGCTGGAGGGCGAGATGGAGGGAGGATAGAGGAGGATGGAGGCGAGAGGGAGGCAGGGAGGGGGTGCCGAGAGGGAAGCCGGGAGGGCGGAGGGGGAGGAGGGGGCACGGAGGGAGGAGGAGGCGGAGGGGGAGGAGGAGAGACAGGGAGATGAGACGGAGGAGGATGAAGGACGGGGATGGGTAAGGGACAGGGGGGGGGGGCGAAAAGGGGTGGGCAGGGACAGGGAGAATGGAGGACGAGAGAGAGGGGGTGAGATTTTTTGATTGGCTCCTCGCTGAAGCATAGGGCTTGTCGAAACTGGGTGGCGCTGCAGCTACCATAATATTAGTCAGACTAACAAAACTTCTGCACGGGCACCAATGGCGCAAGGACAGTAGTTTACCCCCCCGTATAGTATCCTCCCACCCTTAACTGACACAGTTTCTTAAACCGTGGTCAGTACTGTACAAATGCAGGGCACAGAGAGCAGGTGGGCGGTCCTGCAAGCGATGATGCGTATCCCCTGAGGCATTGGCAAACGGGGCGGCAGCACGAGTGTGACGCACGAGCGTGCTGTCCATCTTCGCACCCTGGCATCGAGCAAGACAAGGCGAGGCGCAATTATCTTCGCCTTGTCTGAGCACTGAAAGAACATATTCTTCTCCTGCCAGAAAGCCGAGAAGTGAGCAGCAACGAAACTGCACGATAACAAAACTCGCACCTTGATCATTCCTGTACTGCCTGCTGGGCAGTACCGACAGAGAGTGGCTGTACGTGCAACTCTGCCTGCGATGTCTCTCCTGAGACGTCGGACATCACATTGACTGACAGGTCTTGGCACACGAGCCTGCGGGCTATCTTCGCGTCCTCATATCAAGCGGCAATGCGAAGTGACCGGAAGGCGATGCGCAGTTATCCACATTGTGTTGCCAAAATGGCTGCTCCAGATCAGCTGTCTCCTGATCTCCTGATCTCTGGCTCTGGCCTCGTCGTCCCCCTCCTCCGTTTGCTCCTCCTCCAAACTTTTGCACTGAGGCGTGCCCAGCGGCATGAGATGAGGGGAGGGGAGGGAAGAGGAGGGAAGGAGGGGAAGGGTCGGGGAGAAGGATGGGCAGGGGGAGGGCTGGAGGGCGAGATGGAGGGAGGATAGAGGAGGATGGAGGCGAGAGGGAGGCAGGGAGGGGGTGCCGAGAGGGAAGCCGGGAGGGCGGAGGGGGAGGAGGGGGCACGGAGGGAGGAGGAGGCGGAGGGGGAGGAGGAGAGACAGGGAGATGAGACGGAGGAGGATGAAGGACGGGGATGGGTAAGGGACAGGGGGGGGGGGGGCGAAAAGGGGTGGGCAGGGACAGGGAGAATGGAGGACGAGAGAGAGGGGGTGAGATTTTTTGATTGGCTCCTCGCTGAAGCATAGGGCTTGTCGAAACTGGGTGGCGCTGCAGCTACCATAATATTAGTCAGACTAACAAAACTTCTGCACGGGCACCAATGGCGCAAGGACAGTAGTTTACCCCCCCGTATAGTATCCTCCCACCC